GAGGGTTTACATTTTCCATTTCAGGGGAGGCTCCTGCCTTCCTCAGCAGACACCTGACTTTCCAAACCAAGACCCCATGCATGTCTCCCAGCCAGGCAAGCAGCAGCCATGGAAAAGGGCTGGAGAGCCCACAGATGAGGCAGAACAGATGGAGTATAAATAATCTGGCAGCCTGCAGACAACTCGTGGGTTATTAAAGCACAGTGTGCCGAGCCAGGGCCAGCCAGGCCAGCAGAGCATGAAGGAGCTCAGGACTGGGGCTTGGCTTCCAAGGGAGACCAAAGGCATAATCCTTTCATACTGCTGCAGCAGCACGTGCCCATCCACTGAGGGGGATGAAGACACAAAAACCCTGTTGGGCTTCAAGGCTACTCATGCAGCCAGGTCAGGATTGTCCATGAGTGAAAATCCTATGAGTTTCTCTAATTTCAACTCTTCCAGTACAGAAAACACTCTGAAACAACCACAATGTTTACTAAATTCTGAAAGATGTTGTTTTCTGTGGTATTTTCTGCGGTCCTCCATGGCAGGAAGGAGTGAATCTGACTCCATGTTCTTAGAAGGCTAACTTATCATTTTATGGTATTATATTAAAGAATACTATACTAAAACTGTACTAAAGAATAGAGAAAGAATACTTACAGAAGGCTACAAAGAATGATAATGAATCTCATGATTCTCTCTCCAGAGTCTGACACAGCCTGACTGTGACTGGTCATTAAGTTAAAATAATTCATATGAAACCAATCAAACAACCACCTGTTGGATAAACAACCTCCAACCACATTCCAAAGCAGCAAAACACAGGAGAAGCAAATCAGATAATATTGTTTTCCTTTTTCTCTGAGGCCTCACAGCTTCCCAGGAGAAGAATCCTGGGCAAAGGGATTTTTCAGAAAATATGATGTGACAGTTTTCTTAAAAAAAAAAAAAAAATCAATGTCTTGGAGAAATGTTGCTCTCACTCTCACTACTAAAATGCATTGTTCATCCAATGGAAAAAACTTTTTTTTTTTTTTTTTTTGTAGGAAGGAGTCCTGTTCAGTATTTGTTGTCAGGCTTATGAGTGTAGAGCTAGAAGCACCACTCTGTCCTGAATTTCAGGGGCAGCTCTTGCCTGGGTGGTGGATGGTCCCTCCATCTGTCTCTTTAAGAGAGATTTGTCCCAACTGATTCCTTCCATGCCACTAGTTTTAGTATTAATTAATACTTTTAACTGGTAACAGGAGAAATCCAGAAGCTCCAGTCAGAAACAGAAGAACATTGGGCTGGGTATAATAAAGAAGGGTTTTTGCTAGAGAGATTTAGAGCTGGAAAGAACAAACAACTTCAGGATAGGAGGAATGGGACCAAAGGCTATAAAGCAGGAACTTCCACCTGTATTAGATATCTAATACCTCTCTCTCCTAGGTGCTCCTCAAGCAGTTTATGAGGATTTGGTTTAGGGATGTGGCTGATAACAGCTCCATCCAAGCCAGGCATCAGGATTCACTTCATAGGAATTGGGAACAGGATGCCAATATGCAAAATCCATGGGAAGATGACAAGCACCCCAAATCCTGGGTAGGATTCAGCTGCCCAAGCAGGTGAGGTGAGGATCCATAAGATCTGCATGGCACCCACAGATCTGGCACAGGAGACTGGAGAAAGCAGAATGGGAGGTCAGAGAGGATATCCAGGATCTCCTGTCTGCCTCTCTCCAGGAAATGAAACCCATTCACCTTACACAAGCTGCTGGGCTGTACCTCTACAATATGCACTAGTTTGTAGTATTAGGGCTGTGTATCGACTATGGCTCCCCCTTAGAGAGCACCAGCAATGCCAGCACTGAAGCAAACCACTGAAATTGTTCCACTTAACTTGAAATCAAGCCCTGGCAACATTTTGACCATTTTTATTCACAACAAGCCCGGACCATTTTATCAGGTGTCACCTGAAGCCCAAGACATCATTTATGACCATACCAAGTGTGGGGAGCATCTCAACAGCACTCTGAAATCAGAGCAGACATGGCAAAGGACACATGTCCTTGGGCTGTGGCCTTTTGGAAGGATTTGTGCTCCTAAGCCATTCAAACATCCTTGAAAACCCTGTCTGTATTTATTTTTCTTCAAGGATCAACATGTTTTCTGAAAGGCAGGGAACGACAAAATAGCAGGTGCATTGCAAAAAGCTTTTGTGAGGAGGAAAATTTATTCCAGGATGTGCAGTTTGCAAAACACTATGTTTAGTAGCTGCATAATAGCAGCATTTTGTGACAGTTAAACATCATGTTCCTTTCTCAAAGGATCCTAAAGCATTTTACAAACACTTCCAACATATGGCCAAGTGTAAAACAGCACCAGGAAAAAAAATAAAAAAGAAAACTCTGTTTGCAGCCTTCTCTCCTGAGTTTTGCAACCAGGTCATGGGGTCTGGTGTCATCTCCCTGGATGCCAGGAGGGGATAAGGGCTGTGCTTCTGCAAGGGGTTTTTGGAGCTGCTGCTGAAGACCACCATGTGCCAAGCTCAGCTCTGCCACACTTTTGAGCATCGATAATTCAGGCTCAAACCCATTTTTTTGAGCTGTCAGGCAGAACCCAACCCTGTGACACCGAAAGTGAGGAGTGACACAGCAGCAATGGGCTGACAGACCCCTGAGAGCAGCTGCTCCTCACCCTGCAAACGTGGGCCTGCTCTGCCAGTGCCACCTCCTGGGGACAGCTGGATGGCACCACAGTGACACTTCCCTCAGTCAGGCAGAGCTTTAAGGACAACATAGATTAAACTCACAATCCAGCCCAGGGGACGTGCTCATGGAGAGCAAGCACACACCTCCACCCTGCTCAGCCAGGGAATTCTGCAGGGAAATGTGGAAAAAACAGAACGTAACTGCTCAGTGTGCAGTCACCATGCCTGTCTGCCAAAGTAGACACTTTCAGCTTTCCAGAAGATCTCTAAGAGTTGCCAGCTGTCAAACCTGGTGTTTTTTATCTCATCTAACAAACAGCTACAATAGCAAGGAGCCCCAGGCACGGTGTAGAGACACTACTTCTGCGCTGGGTTTGTAAATAAAACTTTAAAAATTCAAATTAAAAGGAAGTTATAAAAGACACCTTTGGATACAACACTGTTTGCTGGGATCTGGGATTCTACTTGAAGGTCCCACAGATAATCCTTGGCTTTCTTTGCAAGATCACTTGAATTTACTCCCAGATAGTCTCCTAAAGCCTTAACTCAGGGTAAAGTCATACTAGAGGAAGACTTGCTCACAGGCACAGATGACATCTTGTCTTTTTCTCCTTCATTAAGATGTACAAAATGGGGTTGATTCACCGCAAATGGGCAGAATAAAGTGATGCCCACACACAGAAAATCTATTCAGTCTCTTGCCTTCCCAGCAATAAAATCTGAAGTCTGTTCATCTTGTGCTCACTTTCCACATTGTGTTAAACAGAGAAGTCCTACTGACCTAATCATGGACCCAAACATTGACATTTTTGCCATATTTGGCCCCAAAGTAACTCTACTCTTGGGCCATTCAAGCATTCCAAGGTTTTGCACTGTCTTCTAAGATGAACATCTTTGCAAGCTCCAAAGCTCCAAGCACACAGCACAGCAACTGGGATTTTATGAATTCAAATTTATGACCTGCATGAAATAATTAAAATTAGTGGGTATAAGTCTGGCACACTGGGAAGAGGCAGCAACACAGCTGTTAGTCATAAACTTTTTTTTAAAAAAGGATGTTCCATGAGCCTCATCAGAAACATTCTTCACTCTTTCACACAGACAGGAATAAAATTTACACATCAGAAATTCCCTTCTGTGATTTAATCCCTGCCCCACACAAAGCATTTTTGATCTTGAAGCTGCCAATGCAAACTTTTAATAGAGTTGGCAGATGGAAGCCTTGGACGAGATGAATGGCAGAGACCCAGAACTCTGTGCACTCCACTTCCATCCCAGCACAGGGCTCCTCAAACCCACATCTGTGCCCAAAGCCAACTCCAATCTTCCCTCTTCTCCCAGCCAATGAGCCTGGGCTATTAGCAAAGTGTCCCCTAATTAATGTGGCTAATTTGAGTGCATCCCAGCTGGGTGAGGAGCCTGGATTCCTCATGGAATCCAGGGAGGGTGAAGGTGGCACTGGGGTTTTGTGGCAGCCAGAATGGGACATAGTAAGAGATTTATTTCAGTAACAGAACCATCAAATTGTTTCAGTTAGAAAAGCCCTCCAAGATCCAAATCCAGCACTGCCAAGGGCACCATCAAGTGTGACATCCACACAGGAACTGCACCAATTCCAGGGATGTTTTGGAGCATCCCAGTGCACTGCTGCTGAAGGGAAGGAACCCAGAGGGTCCCCAGGCTGGTGGTGTCCCCAAGCAGGAGGTGACAGCAGAGCCATGGGGGCACTGCTGTGCTCCCACACAGCTCCCTGAGCATCCCCTCACTGCCCATGTCACCCCAGCCAGGGTGGAACTGCCACCATGGTTCACAGCAGTGCAGATTTACATGGGAAATTAAAGGCAGTGCCTTGGGGCTGAAGCACCAGAGTGAGAATTAAAAAAAAAATATAGAAAACAAGATGCAGGAACAAAATAATCTCTCATTTCTACTACAGGTCTCTGGAGGAGATTTCTCCACCTTGTAGCTTGTCGTCAGGTGAAAACTTTGGTGCAGGGCTCATAGAAATCTGTCCAGTTTGTGTCAACTTCTACAGTCACAGCCTTACTATTTCACAGTTATGTATGATGTCTTTGCAGAGATTTAACAGAGTAAGACACAGGAAAAATAACTGGAGAAATCCCTGCTGGTCACCCCCAGCCCCCAGAAAACATCAACTAAGAAATAAGTCCACACATAAAAAGTGTTTTATACAAACATCCAACTTGTGACCTTCCACGGTTATCTATTATAGCAAAGGCCTTTCTAGAGAAAGTTTAACATTAGCTACTAAACATGGCATGATATTTATTCATCACAGGTTCCACAAGCAAAGGAAAAATATCTTTTACCTTGAACACTTCCATTGGAAGAGGAAAATTTGCTGCATCATTAAGGGATTTTTCCAGAGCGCATTTCCACTCAGTTATAGTCTTCAGAGAATAGATATCTAAAGGGATGACAGTAACAAAAAGAAAAAAAGAACAACAAAACCAAGAGGTGACTGTTTAGACATCAAACATTTTTGGAAGACTAAAGTTCTTAAGTCATATGAATGGACAGAGCAAGTGAAATGAACAGTGCCTATATTCCAAGCTGTGCAGCATGGATAAACTCAACACAAAAGCAGTTAGCAGGGGCACATTGGAAAAAGATTGTGTTTTATAACCTGGAGTAAAACCCAGAAAAATTCACATCCTTCAAATGCTGCTGAAGGAATGAGAATCGTATTATCTCATTACTTGAAAATAGTGAAAAAACTAATTTTCAGTTCTCAAAATACCTGATGTTTCCTAGTTTGAGGAGCCTCAGGTCTTCAAGCAATATTAGTCATATTTGAACAAAACAAATATTATCATTATGAAGACACCTGCTCATCAGGAAGTGTTTAAGGTTTGTTTTTTGTTTTTTTTTTTATTGCAAGGTTGGGGGGGGTGTGGGAAGAAACATTTCAAGTAAATCCCTACCCAGATACATTTTTTGGTATCACACTCAAACGAGAGCAAGGACTTCCACTTATGAATTTTCATCACTATACTTTTAGGCAACATCCTTGTGCAGCTTCACATTGCTTGCAGTGGGTTTCTTTACACAGGTATAATATTATTAAATCATGATATTAACAAGCCCTTTATGGTTCAGTGCAGTGAAATGCCTATGAATCATCAAAGGGAACAATGTAGGGAACAATGCTGTGATGGGGAACATTATATTGGATTTACTCCTGCCCTAGAAAACACATTGTTATCTTGCACGTAACAAGTTATTGCAGAACACTCATATCAAGGCCTCAAAGAGAGAAGATAGGTAGATAGATTGCAACAATTATTAAAATGGAAATGAACATGTGCTCAGTAATAAACTCGAACCTTGATACAGAGTGAGGAGTGTGGAGCTTTTCTTTGGCCAGTCTGGCTCCCCTCATTCACATCAAGGTTCAATTTGGCCCAATTTGCATTTAAATCCTGTATATCTAATAACCATATATATTTACTAGCTAGCAGAAGATTTACCGCTGTATCTTACAATTCTGAAAGAGGGAATAAAAAATACGTGTAAAGAAAAAAAAGGAATTGGCAAGCACTGTTTCCACCTAGCACTGATGCTACAAGAGAATTTTATGCTCTGAACTCAACAGATTTAAGACCTTATCAAAGCAGGATTTGCAGAATCACTCACTGAAGTGGATGTATTTATACTTCCACTATATCAAATCTCACTACTTCAGAACAGACATCAAGGATATGCATATGAATTTAAACACACTTGAAGGGGAATGTTAACCTTTCAGGGCAGTATTTTTAATTCCTCAGCTGTCTGGTTATTAATGGGAACACAGATTTCAAGTCTTTGTTTACAATGTGTGCGGCGGGCACAAGTGTTAAGAAGTGCACTCTTTATCTAATTGTTCATTATTTTATAGTTTTGTTTCCCCACTTCTCCCTTGCCTGCAGGAATTCTGATCAGCATCAAGTGCAGGGAGGGGGATGACTCACCTTGTTTCTTTCTTTTTTGGTTTAATTTACAGGGAAATACTTAACACAAAATGATTTTGCCCCATGCTGCAGACAGTCTGTTGTTTCAGGTCTGAGTTCAGAAAAACTCTGCCTGATGCTTCCCTGCTGGAAACAGACACTCATTTTCTATTGTGATGCCAGTGAAACACAGGAAAGTTGAAATCGCCAAAATGGGGCGACTCTGGCCAAGTTTTGGGCAACTTTGGCCAAAATCAGTGAAAACAAGCAGCAACTTCTTTGGGTAGTGTCAACAAAATTCAAGATACAGAGGCACCTCCAGTGGTTTCAAGGGCCAGCAAGGAATACGCACATTTAATTAGTGGCACCTCACTTATGCTGGGCAAGTGTATGGACACTAAATTGCATGGTTAAAAGAGCATAAAGCATTTTATTTAAGCGTCAGGGCTCCAGGTAATTGAACAAACTGTACTGTGTCAATTTGTATTAGGGTTCACAAGCAGTGAGCAATTAAAATGACTGGCAATTTGTCTTTAAATAGAAAGTGGCATAAACCAGGATGATCTTATCCTGCATAAACAGCTGAGCTCAGGCCATCAGTGGCTCTGTGTCAAGCAGCCTGTGCCAATTTGCACTAGCAAGGAGGCTTATTCCAGACTCAGATATACATCTGAAGGGGAAAATAAGCTATAACCCCTTTGCTTCAGTTAAACTGGCTTGTGAGATATACAGAGTTGTTTGAAGGAGACAGCTGAGATGCTGTTTCATAGAATCATTAAATGGTTTAGGTTGGAAGGGACCTTAAAAATCATCTAGTTCCAATCCCCAGAGGACCCTCTTTCACATTAAGTGGGTGTTAGGATGTGGATGGCGTCAGGAAAGAGACCCCTCCATCCAAAATTTTGCTTGGGTCCATGGGATGTCCCTTATCTGAGATGCTCTGCATCCTGAAAGACTAACCTGGGAACCTGGCAGGTGCCAGAGGTGGATCAACAGGGAAAAGTCAAACTCAGACACAGAGGGAAATAAAGCTCAGGGTGGATATGTGGAATCCTAATTGAGGGTAGGGTAAGCAGTGCTACAGGCTGCAGAAGTGATGCACAAAAACACCCTTGTTTGATAGCAAGGGGACACACAGCCTGATTTGGGAGCAGCTGCATGTCCTCAGCATCTCCTCAGAGGAGATTCATAACAGATTTGATTCACAGTCCAAGGCTGTTCCCTTTATCAATCAAGGAGTTGCCTTAACTTGCTTCAGATGTTCAAAATTTAGGACAACCAAGTGTGTCTTCATTGGTTTCAACCCCCATGAGTGCAAAAAATTGGCTTAAAAAGATGTCATGTCATTTTACCTATGTTAGGTGTGCCTTAGCATCCTCTTTTCCCTACCCATTATAAAGAGAAAGAGACTTCTCAGGCAGAACTGTCTTTTGATGCCTGCACCATGGCAAGTGAATCTAATCCCTGATGAGTAAAAAACTAAGTACTGCCCACATGATCTCTCCTTAAGAAGGTCCACACTAGGTCTTTCACACAACACACATCTGCCTAGCCCAAATGTTCTTCCCTAAAGAAATCACATGGGGATGTACCCCTGAGACAGTCTCCAGGCCTCAGGTCCTCAGCAAACTTCATTTTTTGAGTTTATGGTTTAACAGCCTCATCCCTGAGTTTCTTGAGAGCTCTCTGCTGCCAGCACCTCATCCTCACAACTCATTACTGCTTCCCTGACTGCTCCAAGATTCCTTTTGCAGAGACTTTAGTTTGCAGCAGATCCCATAAGATCAGCCACTAAGATCTTAAAGGGTTTTTCCAACCTTGATGATTCTGTGACTCCATGTTAGGTAGACATCAAATGACCAGGAGAGGAACAACCAGAATTCCTGGCTCCAGAAACTCCTCAGATTTTCACTCCTGCCTGGCAGAGCCTGACAGCTGGGTCACAAGGGGGGGATTAATGAAAGACCCCAGGAGAGGATTTGGGCAAAAACAGAAAAGTTAAGACCTGAAGGATCTTTTCACAGCAAACTCCTACCAGGCTCAACTTCAGGAGATGTAAAATAATGAAGATCTACTTAAGTGAGGAAGAAGATGTGGGCATTGTGTCCATTAATAACAATGTTAACTAAAAAGTGAATGACCAGAAAATTAAAAGAGAGAAAACAGCTATCAGGTGAAAACAGGTAAGAACAAGAGACAGAAATTTTAAAAGTTAAATCAAGGAGAGGGGAGAAGAAAAGTAAACAACTCCAGCAAATAAAGAGTCCAGTAACAAGTTTAGAGAAATACAACTGAAAAAATGAAAAGAAAGGCATGAGGGGTGGGGAATCCACAGAGAAGGATTCCACAACTGGATAAAAGGAGGAAAGAGCAGAAAGCAAATGGAATGAACAAAGAGGAAGCACAAATCTCCTCTGGGTCATTTCTATATTCCCCAAACCTATACAGGCCAAGAGGGTTCAGAGATGGTCAATGAAAAAATTGTTTCTCTGTAACACAAAGACTCTGTAAAATAACAGTGGGTGATATTCATGCTCTCCAACACTCACATCTAATTTGCAAATGATGGGGAAAACTGATTCCTACCTACCAGAGAAGAAAAACACACACTTCCAAAAAGCTTTCACTCAAGACCCAAGTCCCAGACAAACTTGTGATCATGAGAATTGAACGTCAGGGTCAACTCTCCTCATTAGGTGTGAGGGACAGAAGCTACAGCAGAAACACCTTCCCAGAGGAGGGGAAGTTTCATGGAAAAACTTATACCCACAGCACAAAGAAAATGAGGCACAGACCTGGATGCACTTAACCTACACAGGAGAATGTGGATCAATCTGTGATCCCAGGCTGGCTTAACTGCAGTCCTGATCCCTTTCCATTCCAGCTGGTTTGAACACTAAACTCAACCCTAAAGACTTCCAAACCCTAAAGACACTTCATCTCCAAGCTGCAATCTCCTGATGTTTCATATGGTCTGACAGACTTGCAAAGACTTCAAATTAATTTATTTAATAAACAATACAGTCCACTCTGAACCCAAATCAGATGGATCTCACCTCTCATCTGTGCCACAATTCAGCTGAATTTATTTAATAAACAATACCGTTCACCTGACCCACTCTGAACCCAAATTAGATGGATCTCAGCTCCCATTTGTGCCACAACCAGAAACTACTGACAAAGCAATGTGAATGCTGGAAAAGGAAGAATCATCTCAAAACATCAGTGAACACCACGAAGGGAGACAATATTTCAAGGAGGTTCCTTACCTGCAGGTGGGTCCATTCTGTATTTATTCTCTTGACACCAACCGACTGGTCGAAGTCTGCAATCCAAGTAAAACAACCACTGGTCATAGGATTCAGTCTCCTCCAATCCCACATAGCGAAGGCGTAATCTTCCTCCAACATTTTCAACCACACTAACTATCCAGTACTGAAAGGGATTCTGGGAATCCTGCAGCTCTATTAAGGAATCAACTGTAATGAGGTCTACAGGGTTTTTTCCTCGCAGAGGCTGTTTGAATAGAAGCAAAACTCCTTATTTTAAACTTTATTTGAAGACTTCTCAAGGAAACAGATGACAGCAGAAGATTATTTTTGTTTTTCACACCATCATCCAAGCGATCAGCAAACAGTCTGTTCTTCTTCTATTTTACCCAATGTCTTCCAAGTGCAAATTCAGAAGTAAAACAGAAAACAACAGTTGTGCTAATTTCTCAAGCGACATCATCAACAACAACAACAAAAAAAGAATAATAAAGGTGGAACAGCATATCCATTTAGGATGCTCCTGAACTACTCAAAGCCCAGTTGTACTGAAGGATTTTAAACAAATTCTTATTGATTGCAGCTGATAAGAACCAACCACAGGACTGGACCCTAATATTTACCTTAAAGGTGACTACTTTGTGCATGACCCAGAAATTTCACTCTGTGCACTGATCTCTTTCACCAAAGATCAGCTTTATCCTTTTCCTACTGGCAAGGAGAGCAAATTATCCCCGCCAGCCACGGATGCAGGAGGGTGTGGGGGTTATTCCAAAGCTCAAAGCCCACAGCAGGTTTGGAGCCAAGCTCAGGGCACACAGGATTTATTGGGTCAAGCCACCATGCCCAAGAAATCCCAGTGACTGAGGTTATTTGCTTCCCCATGGTTATTTTCTGGGATCCCACTTTTGCTGCATTTTATACATATGTGTAACTTTCCACCTGCAAGCACAGGCATTAAAAAAACATGAAATGCTCTGCAGAACAACCCCTTTGGGGCTCAGTGGTTTTGTTTTGTGACTGTGAGCATCTCTGTGCTCTCAAGCTTTAACACAGTGGTTAAATTTCTTATTTGTTATTAAATACAAGTTTGAATTCTTATGCAATGTCTCAGTTCCGGGGTTTTAAGAGCAGCATTAAAATGACCCCAAGACTTGGAAGCATTGGTCCCCAAAGGAGATGCTCAGCAAAGGCAAAATGCATTAAAAACAAAGACCTTTTTTTTTTTTTTTTTCTGTGTGTTTGTTTCATTTTTACTTAATTAAACCATATAAACATCTCACATTACTTTGTAAAATATTAATTCTGTAAATCAAGAGTCAGTCCAGGATGGTTCTTTCTAATAATGACTACAAAACAAAAGGAGAAACCTTATTTTTCAAGAAGTTATTTTTCCTGAATGTTGAACATTGAATATTTTTACTGAATATTGAAAATATTGAAATTTTGAGATGCAATTGATTTTCATATATCTCTCTTAATCCAAAAAAGGAGGCAAGAGCACGAGAATATGGTAAAAAATGCAATTAACAAAAAACTTATCACAAGTACAACTTTAAACAAATTTATGATTAACAGATATTTCTCAGAACAATATATTTGCCAAAATAAGCTACTCTTCTACAGTGCAAGCTGTAAGCATCTGTATAATCTCTTCAAATATTATTTCATGGCAAAATGCAGTGTCAGAATTTAATAATACAACAGAAATCCACTTTAATGTGGATTTTTTCCCCTCTCATACAACTGCTTGCAACCAAATATTCTTTAATATGAAAGGACGGTGTAATGATTTAACTTATTATAATAAATCCCTGGCTGTATCAAAGTGAATATTGCTTCCCTGATTTGTGTGCTAAATTTTAAGCCAATGGGCTGTCACTTACCCCATGAGAACTGAATGGCTAGGATTAATAATCAGCTTGCATGAAATATTAACATTTACCATCATGCAAGAACCCTTTACATGCACAGCTGGCACGTAAAAATTAAAAAAAAAGGATTTAAAAAGTAGCACTACATATTGATTTAACAGCCTAACAACAATCTGCAGCACTCATGAACAGCAAATCTGTCAACAGGGGCCAACATACATTGCATGACACAGACAGCACTGAGCACATAAAACACCAGGAAAGGGTCAGAAACTGCTTTAAGCCAACTCAATGTTTTCTCTCTCTGCTTTTCTGCCTGCAGAGAGGGGAGGTTTGGCACACACCAGAGATGGGGGCTGGACACCACCAGATTTCTGCATGTGGTAGTCCAGGAATGGGGATGCAGCAGGATGTGGATTATTTGGGGGCTGCAAGGCTGTTCTTCACTCAGACTGGGGGAAAAACCCTAATGGTATTTATTAATTACCCCTGCCAGGTCCATCCATACTGCTTGGGCACGTGGAAAAAGGATGCAGCTGTGGATGGTGGAAGTGAGCAGGGACAAAATGATCAAAAATGGTGCCTGGATGGACACTGGCCTCCCACAAGCCAAATGAGCACTTTCACAAATTTCTGTGTGGCTCTGCCCTCAGCCTAAACACAGAGGGACAAAGAATGAGGGGCTCCTGCAGGACCATCTGTCTCCTCTCCAAAGCATCCACAGCAGAGCAGGGTAGGCCCTGATGCAAAAGTGGTTTCAAGGGGAAGCTGTGGGGTTTTTACCCAGGATCTCAAGGCACACTGAGGCTGTCCCAGGTGAAGCCACCCCTTGGATTTGCTGCACAGACTGGGCTCTGGGAGCATCTAAAAAATGAACCCTTCTGCTCTTCTGAGGCCACCTCACCCAACAACATCCCCGCTAAATTTGACTGCTGGATTTAGGTGGAGGGAATGTCCTTGAGGGAGCACTTCCCATATAAAGATAAACCAAATTAGGTTGATGCTCCCCATCAACCTACTAAACACCCTCTCCAAGCTGTGCCACAGAGTCACAGAATGGTTTGGGTTGGAAGGGACCTTAAAGATCACCCAGTTCCAACCCCCTGCCATGGGCAGGGACACCTTCCACTAAACCAGATTGCTCCAAAACTCATCCAGCCTGGCTTAGGACTCTTCCAGGGATGGGGCAGAGATGGACTGGCAGCTCAGCTCACCCGTTTGATGGATCTATTGGGGCACTGAAGGGCTGAGCTCTCCCTTCTGTGGATCCCCTCCCCACTCTATGCCTTTTCTGAGCACCAACTTTGTAAAGAACAAAAAGGCAAAACTCCCCATGACTGGGTGAGAAGCAGAGCCAGCAGAGCCCAGGCACTGCTGCCACGGATTTTGGGGCATGGTCAGGTCCCAGGGCTGGCAGACACAGACACTGCAAGCACACAGTGAGGAGGAGGAGGAGGAATGCAATCTAATACATACACCTTCCAGCAAATTGGCAGGGGCCGTCCTGGCGCCGGTCAGATCCTGGATGAGGAACTCTGTCCAGTCCATGTATTTCTCCTTGATTGCTGGGGAAGAGAAGGGAAGGGAAGAAAAGAAATGCTTAGCACAGCAGACTGCAGTGACTTGCCATGTGTGTGTCACACAGTGGACCTGGTGTATTTATTAAGAAGAAATTATTCATTATTAGAGGGATGAGGCCCTGGCACAGGGTGCCCAGAGAAGCTGTGGCTGCCCCATCCCTGGAAGTGTCCCAGGCCAGGCTGGACAGGGCTTGGAGCACCCTGGGACAGTGGAAGGTGTCCCTGCTCATGGCAGGGCATGGAACGAGATGATCTTTCATGTTCCTTCCAACCCAAACCATCCTGTGAATCCATCAGAAACATCTCCTCAGGATTTACCAGCTCTAAAGTTTTGGGTCCAACTGCAACTCAGACAAGGAAGAAAAGCTGGTTTGTTGTCCAGTTCTTTGGGCAACCTGTGCACACAGTTAAATGCCAAAAAAAAGGGAAGGTGTTGCTCCACTGTAGCCACTGACAGTGATTTACAACATCAGGGTTTATCATCCCCATCTCTCCCATTCAGAATTGGCCACTGCCTGTGTAACCACTCGTTTCCTGCTTATCACCTGGGCTCAGATGTGATTTATAAAGTCTCTCTGTATGTTCACTAATGACCTCTGGGAAAAAAAGAAGCTGTGCAAACTTTCAATTCCTTGACAGGAGACCAGAAACTGCAGGTGCTTTTCCAACAGAGTAGAAAAATCAACCCTGAGAACATCATATATCAGCTGCTGAGTCAATACACCAGCAAGAAGAAAGACTTAAAGTCTTTTCCTTATCAGGAACTTCTGTTTCATTTAGGAAAAGAGTAATTTCTGAGGTAAACACTATGAACCAGCATCACTTTAGGACATGTATGCAGTTTAAGATTTGAACTGAAATATATAAATTTTGCCTCTAGGATTCACATTCCAGGTCAGTTCTGGTTTAAATCAGTGGACACATGAAGGCAATAATTCAGCAAATCTCAGCTTGTCAGACAGAGATGCCTCTTCAAATGCACTGTGCAGCTGCTATCAAAAATCCAGAAATTCAACTTTAATTCTACCTGCCTGTAAATGAGAATTAAATTACATCTGAAATTTTGTTTTCTCTTCAAACGAATCTTACTTATAAGTGAGAGAATCATCAGACATGCAGTTATGCTACTAACTCAGAAACACCTACAGAAGGGAAAAATCACAAACATCTGAAAATGTAAACATTTCCTCTGAATAAACAACCAGATATGTTATTTAAAGACCATTACCCCATGGTAATCCACAGGACTGAGCATGGATAAAGACACAAGCCATGCCCAGGGCACCTTGCCTCAACCTCATTTCTGTGCTCTGCTCCTTCCCCAAAAGCCAGTTCTCCCAGCTTGAGCTATACATCCCATTTAGATATCTAAATTCCTTTAAATGTGCATTTAAATGCACTTAAAATTATCAAACCTTAAATGTACTTAAAATTATCAAACCTTGCACTGCTGGACTTGAGCATCCATAAAATAGTGTTTGAACTTGCCTGGAACCATTTTAAGTCTTTTGCAGCACCAGTTTTGCATGATTTCTGGAAGATTTATGACCTTTGCATTATTTAAGATGAAAGAACCGCCTGAGAAGAAATGGTTTAGATATGACACTTTCAACACTCCTGCTGTGTTGAACTCATCAGTTCCCATCCACCTACCTTAGGATAAAGAAACCGAGCTGAATTTTGGCACCAGGGAGAGGATGGTGATTGTGGCAATGAATGAGGCTGGGGTCCCTCTCGCTCAGATTCTGCCTCCCCCTGAGCACAGCACTGGCTGCAGCACAGAAAGGTGCAAGTTGAACTCGATTCTGGCTCGTTCCCACAAAGTTGTCAGCCAAATCTCTGAATGCCAGAGCTTCGCTACCGAGGAATGACAAATGTGATAAAAAGCACACACTTTGAACTTTGAAAGCTGGCAGGACTGGGGGGGAGGGAGATGGGGGGAGAATAGGATTTTTCAGAGTTGACAACAGATTAACAGATTTCAGGGGCTTCCACTTCCAGATGCCCAACTGGAGATGTCATAACGATGCCTGATTCACAGATCTGCCTGTCTGTCAGTCTCCCAGTGCCTTTCAGAGAGAGGAAAAAAATCCCTGTCCTTTTTTAAAAGACTTGCACCTCACAGTTTGACATCTAAATAAGCTCCTCTCCACATTCAGATCTGGATTAGAGACTTCCAAAGTCCAAAAGTCACAAGGTGACCTCTGTTTTCAGACTAAACAGGCTCAGCTGAAAAAAAAAATCTGAGCTGTTCTCAGTTTCTAGGTTTCAGAATCATTCTTCCCATACAAATCTAATTTCTAGGGTTTTCCTTTATTATGCTTTTGTGGCATAGATAAAACGGCTCTGCAAACCTCTGAGAGACAGGAAATTGCACTGGAAGTTGTAGAAACAGGGATTTGTACCTTCCTCTGTGCCTACAGAGCACAATCAGCCTGCTCAGCTTTACAGTTCAAGTCACCACAGAGCAAATATTAATTTTTAGTAGTAATGAAGTGAATCTGAATGATCACGATAGCTGCAAAAGCCTTTGAGGACCAAGCAAAATGTTAAACAAATATATTCAAACAAGGAAAATCTGCTGGGTAAACGAGAATAGCTGTCAGTGCCATGCATGGGTGCCCAGCCTGAGCATCCCTCTCCAGAAATGCTGTTCCTCTGGAATATCAGACTCCTTCAGCACTGGGGAGTGAAGCAGTGAACTTCCCATCACTATTTCCCATCATGAGCTACAGGAAAAGGCTCTACTGAACCTCTCCAACTGCTGGACAGGCTGGGAGAATTCTGCTTTTTTTTTGCAGCTGGTGGGAAGGGAAGGTGGCCAGGATAAAGAATCCTGCTCCACAGTGACCTAAACTCCTAAACTAATATTCCTGTTTTCAAAACATTTTCCCCTGCCTTAAATTAATTCAGTGAGTCAGGAGTGGTCCATGGGCTTCAAACACCTGAAAAAGACCCAAAATTTCCCTCCCCAATTCCTGAGGAGCAGATGCAGGGATGAACCAGTTCCCAGACTCAGTGATGGGCTGGTGAAGGGTGAACCATTCCCAACAGACCTCACTGAAATTATCCACACCTGCAAAAGTAAAAACCAGTAAAAAAACCTTGCAGCTCACTGTCTCCTTCCATGAAAAAATGATTATTTCAGAGATCACCTTCTAGTGTGGCAAATATTACAGCAAATTATTGAGTAAGAAAAAAGACCTTTCCAACATAAAGACTCAGGTTATAAAATTGAGTGCTCCTTCCACCAAGAAATGGATCATATCCAATTTCCCTCAAATTCTTCCCACTTTTCCCTACTCAATTCACCTTGCCCACAACATCTCTGACTCCCACTCCTCTCTCCCCTTCCTTCCCACTGCCATTTCCTCACTTTTGCTCATTTTACTCATTTTCCCAAGCTGTGTCCTGACACTCCAGGCTGCATTTGGACCTGAGGAGCAGGGGCTGCTGCCAGCTGCTCACTGGCTGATGGATTTGGTATTTATCATCAGGTTTTCCCCATCAAGCCCAGCCTTTCCCCTTGCTCTGTGCTTGCTGACCATGAAAACCATTCCAAGAGCAGCTGGAAATGCACATCCCATCCCATCCAATCCCCCTGAACACGTGCCCCAGAGCCAGGACAGCAGCTTCATTCCCTGCAACCCTGTAAATCTCTGTGCCCTGCCTCAGCCTCAGCACATAATGGGTTCAGATTTATCTGCCTCTCTAGAGAAATAAGAGATTAAAAGCACATTCACAGTCCCATGGCAGCACTGAGGCACAGGCACTCCATTCAATGAATATGAGATACTATTATCACATTAGCAGCTCTTGGGATTTTATCTTGTTTTCTAGTAGTTGCTGTTTTGCTGAGAGTCACTCCTCTCAGGTTTACATGGAAATTCTCATTTTCCTCTTTTTTTTTTTCTTTCCCCAAGAACAGGACACTGCAAAGTGCAGGAAAAACCCTGAAATCTGAAAAATCGACAAGACAATGGGGGAGAATGTGGTTCGTTTTTTACTTTTCATGACTGTTTTTTCACCCCAAGGCACCCACTTGATTGGCAAGAACAAGATTCAGGGATCTGAACTGCTGCATTTGGTAAAATACAGCAATGGTAGCATAAATAACTTACAGGCATTCAGCACCTAAAAATAAGTTACTCCTTGGAAACACCTCAGAATGCCCCATGGATACTACGTGCCCAAGAAGCAGTAATATCAAATTATGCTCATTTTTGTCCATACTGAAAAGAAAACAACAACCAAAAAACAACAAAACACTCTTCACATTGGGTTTCTTTTTTTTTAATAACCCAGGATCACCAGCAACCTGTCGACACCTCTGCTGGAAAATCCCCACTGGAACCCATCAACCTCTAAACAGCAGAGTTTTAATTTTCTCATATGTGAAGAACAGCATCTTAAACAGCTTTATAAAATGGTTTAAGATCTTTCAGATTAATCTGCTAAATGACAACACTCTCAGTGTGGGAACTATTTTTATCATTAAAAAATTTAACTCTTTCCCAGGACTGGAATGAACAAAAACAGTTAACAAGGGGAATTATAGCTGGGCAGGACTCAGGCAATTCTTCTGCCTGCATTGTGAAATAAACTAAAATACCAGGATCTCATTAAAAGATTAATTTTCAGGATGTTCAAAATTTAATACAGATATACAAATTAGAAATATATTATATATATTTTATATATTATGTATATATGTTATATATGTTATGTATATATATTTTATATATTATGTACATATATTATATATGTTATATATATTATGTATTTATATATATGTATTTGTGATGTGTATTTGTGTGTATATATATATGAGTATATATATATATGAATATACATATATATATACATATATATATATATATATATATATATATATGAGATACAAGAATCAGATATACAATTAAGATACATTAAAATAAAGCTGCTGGTGCCAGAAAGAAACGCCCAGAGCCTGGGAAGAAAGAACC